GGTAGTGAGGGGCCCCAGTGTCTATATGTGTGGAGAGAGAGGGAGAGAGAGAGAGAGAGAGAGAGAGAGAGAGAGAGAGAGAGAGAGAGAGATTGAGAGATTGATTTGGTGTAAATATATATTTACACCAAAATAAATGTAGTGGCTAGAAGAAGAATTCCCCTCCCCATAAAAGTTTATAAATATCTTGGGGCATACTTGTTGAATTTGCAGTTCGCCTTCAATGTGAGGTATGCTGTTTTTCTTGCAGAGGCAGTGGGGAGTGTGCTGGAAAGGACTGAAGGCTTTGCCTTCAGACAAGCCTGGTGTGCACTCCTGATTTAACTGCTGAACAAGCTTTATGATCTTCAGCAGATTCTTTTATCTTTCAGAGCCTCAGCTTCTTTATCTGTAAGATGAAAAAAAAAAAGGTATAGTGCCTAACTCAGAACAAATAAGCAATAAATATTATTTCCTTTCCCCCATCTTGCACCATTTGTTAAATAAGAAAATATCTAATAGAACCAAATTTCTTCTATAGGACCTTGGTTCTCAACTGGGGGTAATGTCTGGGGACAGTTTTGATTGTCACAAAGGGGGTAGGGGATGCTACCTACTAACATCTAGTATGTACAGGCTCACAGTGCTGCTTAACATCCTCCAATGCACAGGACAGCCCCTCCCCACCAACAAAGAATTACCTGGTCTGAAATGTCAATAAGTGCCATTGTTGAGAAATCCAGCTATAGGATAATTCTGCTGTCAAATAATTTACCAAAGATTTTAACTCTGATCCTCAAGTAAACATTCTTGTTTTGCATTGGAAAAAAACAGAGTAAAGGCATTGTGGGGATCACAGCATTTATGTTAATACCCAGAGCCTTCCCTTAACATGAAAATGCAGGCTCGAATTTTACATTTTATCATTAAATGAATATTTTAGTCAACAACAATGTATGCTCCCTTTTTCTTAAGGTATCTTATTATATGTTATGTATTACTACAGTTCGTAAATTGCTTTATGTTCTTGGTTCCCTTTTTCCTCAAACAGTGGGTGCTTACTGACGTCTGTATGTTCTCTGCTAAGTTCCTAAGTTCCTCACCTATCCTGAAGTTTATAATATAGTCTCTGCCCTCAAGGAACATACAGCCTAGTTGGAAGTGGATTAATACACATGCAACAATTAAGAAACAATATAAGATAGCATATAATTAAGCTTTAATTGCAGTGCTCAGACTATGGTGGCTCAGAGGAAAGGTCAATGAGTTCCAACAGCGAGAGCCCGGTATTGCCTATGTGACTGAGGGGTTCAGTAAATGTTTGTTGAACGAAATAGTGAAAATTTTTTACACAAGCGAGGACTCAAGCTAGTCTATAAACTCCATTACAGTATTTAAACTGCTAGCATTTGTAAATGGATGTTGGTGCCTGGCTGTGAGTTTATTTTTCTTAAAAATTCTAGTTTAAACTTATAGCCAAACCTATATATTTCCCAAAATGATTGAATTTTAATAAAACTGAAACAATCATTCATTTGATAGATATGTGAGGGCTTGCTGTGTGCAAAGTGAACCAAAAGAGTCTCTAGATTTGAACAGAACCCATAGCTTGTTCTGTTTGAGACTGTCTTGAGATCATAGGCCTTCAAAAAGCATGTGCTCTCTCACAGCATAGACTGCACGTATATCCTTTTTTACTGCAGGTATGTACTTGCACAGTATGCATTCCAGAGTTTTGCACATTAACACAGACTCAGAGAGAACTTCCCACCACAAACATCCATTCCCAAACACACACCCAGCGCTCAGCACCTTCACACAGAATCCAGGCTCTGTCCTAAAGACACACCGCACAGCACACACATTACACAAAGCAAGATGTACTTAGAAAAACTATAATTTGTTGGTTTCCAATCTTGGCTCCCTGACCCCCGCTGGATTAGAGCTTGCCCTTCCTGGAGGCTGTCCCATCCTAGAACTGTATTTCACCTTGCTTCCTCCCACACCCTGGCTCCCTATTAAAATGTAGACATCTTGTACTGCTTTTCCATCAAAGTAATTAGCTTCTTGGAAAGCATTGCCCATTAACTTGAGGTTAAGCAAAGCGACCCAGGCCCTGCCTCATATTATACGGACACATTTCTAGGTGCAGTATGAGTGTGAGATGGCCACTATCTCCAGTCCCCTCGTGGAACTGCTTCCAGCCTTGTCTCCTTCCAATCCACTCTTTACACCAGCCCCTGTCCTCTGCTTAAAACTCCTTAAACACTTCCTGTAGCTTTTATAACAAAGCCCTAGCATTGCTCATTAAGATCCTTCATGGCATGGCTCCTAATTACTTCTCCAACCACTACTTGCCCCTCTCTGCCTCTACCCCCTTCACTCCGCACTCCAGACATGCTGAACAGAACAGTCCTTTGCCTGCACAGACTTTTTCTTTGCTTGATAACATGCCCCACCCCTTTCCCTTGCCTCTTTACCTGGCTATCCCTACTCATCCTTCCAGAGTCAGCTTAAATGGCACTTTCTCTGCCCTCCACGACTGGATTAGGCGCCTCTCCTTTATATCCAATAGCACTCTACACTTACCCCCATTGCGTTGTGCTGAAATCCCCATTCTCTCGTCCTAATCCCCTCCCTACAAGACTAAACATTCTATGCAGACAAGGAGCATATCTTGTTCTCCATTGAAC